CATCCACTAACTTGCACAATTCAAGAGGACTGTGATAATGAAGCAAGAAACATATTCTATGAGAGGGATGTCCCTACTGATACATCACATCTCAGCAGTGCTATCGAACGTGAAGGCATCTCAGATGGCTGAAAAGCCCTTTCTTCTGCTAATGCAATTTGAAAATCTGCTTTATTATCAGCACTTGCTGGTGCATTGAAAACTGAGATCGTTAACATGAGCAGTACCATACCTCCCTTCAGAGTCAAAAAGCTTCATTAAAGTGGATGGAGGATCAGACCTTTTTTAATCATTAAAAGAAGAGGGATTCTACCGAGGTTTCTTTTTATCCTTTAGATGTCAAAAAAAAAAAAAAAAAAAAAAAAAAAAAAAAAAAAAAAAAAAAAAAAAAAAAGCTGCAGCTTGTTTCTTTCACTCCAGAAGATAAATTATGCTACTTGGTTCTGTAAGTGAATTGGGGCATGTAAGAGAATGTTTCATTACCTAAGCACTTGGACACTGAGGGGCCACTTCAGCATCACTGGCTGTTGTCTCCTGATTTGCTGTTTGTAGTCAAAATTTTCCTCTAAAGGGTTCCACCTCTTGGTGTCTCCCACACGCACTCTATTGAATTCACAGGACAAAGAAAGCAATGAAAATATGCAACATATTTGTTTCCCTCATTCTCATGTTTTTGTTTGTTTGGGGTTTTTTAATCCATGACAACAGGAGTGAAGAGGGTGATGTGAATAGCTCTAGGCCTGCCCTGTATGTTTCTACCTCTCTGTCAGCATCTCAAAACCTGGTGCCTGCTTACCTCAAAATAGACAGTTTCTTTCACTTACAAGCAAGGTACAGGGTAGAAAATTTTCATTTCCTGCAGCACTTGAAGGCTGCTAAAGCAGGAGCAATGGGCTTCACAAAACTAAAAGCTAAGATACTTCCAACACCTGCATGATGTTCAGCATTTGACAAGTTCTGGCAAGACTGACTATAAAAACAACTTAGGCTTATTTTTCTTTCACACAGTAATGTAACCAAAAAAGTTTTATTGGTCAAGATCTTTGAAAGAAATAGTACTTCTGGGCACTCTGGGATCACCTGGTAATTATTCTGCATGGGTCAAAATTAATTAACTTATGACCCACAAATCAAGCTTCTAATGGAAGTAGCACTGTATTTTTCTTTAGGGCTACAAGGTCCACGCTGGTTTCTTACTACCTAACACTACATAAATTATAACATTGACAAGCCTATGATATGCAGCAAGACTACACACAGCTCAAGTCAAGTGTCTTTATATGACATATGAGATGGGGAATTTTATTAATAAATCAGTACTTCTAGGGGAAAAACAACCATCCACTCTTCTTTATTTCCTCTTCTTCAGGGATTACTGCCTTAACCTGATTCATGCACCTGACACAGGAGGCAAACACACATTCAGGTCAGGAAGACCTGAATGCTGCACTCAGCAAGCATTTCACTTGGCCTTCTGCAAACATACAGACTGTCATGAAGTCATCCTGGCACAGGGCTTCACATCCCTTCCCAAGAGCCTATGACCACAGGTTGGCTATCACTAGACTTATGGGGGCTGTGCTTCCAGTGATGAGAAATCAATACAGCCCCTAATCTACTTGTCAAGAAACATATTGCCCAGGAGCATGAAGGTCAAGGACAATCTATACAACGGCTCTTTTTGCAGACAACTATGAAGGCAGGAAACTTCATGCTTAAGACATTCAGCATACAGTGTGCGTATGTCCTTACATGAAGGAAAACCTTATGTGCACTGACAGAAGGACAGTAAACTTAGATGTGCCATGTGGCACCTCAGTTGAGTATCTGTACAACCTGTAGGGAAGAAGGAGGATATAGTAACCTCAGCAATTCTGTACGAGACACATCTACTTGACTATTATGAAAACACAAATATTGTATACAGCAATACCTTGGGTGGGTGGGTGGATGTGGGTGTGCATGGCTGTAAAATCCATCCCTGGCTCAAAGTATCAAGGTAAGTTTAAAAAAAAAAAAAAAAAAAAAAAAAAAAGCATCCCAGGTTCTTGAGTTTCTAAGAAAACCATGTTTAGTTGAACTGTCTTGCACAGAAATAGCTTATTATACGTGGAAATTAACTGAACAGGAATTTACTTTCTAGAATCCTTTGTAAAATTCCCTGAACTTAACCTGAATTTCAAATTTGTTTTTCATTTGTTCAGTGTCAAAAGGCAAGTAGTGCTGCTGTAGCAATTTGCATCTCTGTCTTGGGAAACACAATCCAAGTTCTTGGGGCACTGTTTCCTCATTAGCCATTCTCCAAAGAACAAACTGACAATAATGGATTTAGTATTCCCAAGATATGCTGAGTGTACTTTACCACTATGCTAGCCACATCTTCACTGAAAATCCTGTAATTTATCTGGGGAAGGAAGGCAGTGTGTATGCAGGTTCAACTTGAAGGAATTTACCCCCACATACAAATTACTTATCAGCATTTTCATTTTAAAAAGGCAAGCAAAAGCAACTAAAAATTATTCTATCTGCTATAAAATCTGTAGATGAAAAACAGGTCAAGAATGAAATCAAGTTGAAGTTGTGAATGAAGCTTTAGGTTAATTCTCAGCATAAGGTGAATGTTCATCTCATCACAGAACGATTTGCAAGGCCTTCTGGGTTCCCCTTGTCTTTAAGTGATTCTATCAACTATCAAAAAGAAAATTAACTTACAGACTATGAGGAATGTTGAAAGATTCATTTTCTTCACAGATAAGAGAAGAAATGCACACACATTATTCAAAGGGAAGGATCAGGGAGGAACTACGTGAAGGAAACTGGCAGAGCAGATATTCCCTGACTTCATAGCTAGGAAAAAAAAAAATGAAATAAGAAAAGGGCACAGTTAGAAAGTAGATTTTTTTCAACCACGAGAGACTTGTACCTACTGACAGACATATCATCTGAGTATATATTACTCCTCACACATACCCTTTTCTGCAGGTGTCCCCAAATTCCAGTTGAGTGCCAAAGAGAAAATAAAAACATGATGAAAACATCCTGTGTTTGGGGTTTTTTAAAGCATTCTGTTTCCTATGGCTCCTGTTGCATTCCCTGAGAAGTCTGATGTGATCCTTTCTATCAAAAAGCCTCATCTGCTCCTACTGCACAAGGAATCAAGAAGACATACTGAAACAGACACTTATCATTATAGGTGCATTTTAGTAACTGCTATGCTATGAACAATGAAATTTGGCAAGGCTCAGACACAGTGACTGAGCTTTTGGGAGAGGAGATAGACCAGGAGATAATCTTGAACAGTAGCCTTGTATAATTAACCATGATTTCAACTCATCCCTTTGTTCAGTTTATGGGTCTTTGGCTTTCAGGGGATCTTTTGGCAGTTCCACATTTCAGTGCTGAGAGTACAATGTCCTCCCAGCAACATATAACAGCAGCTCCTCCTTGAACAGTCGTAACTTGCAGGTACCCTTCAAGGTCATAATCCTCACTGTCTTGGCAAGACTCACTTTTAACTTTGTTAGCACTCAGAACCAGAGAGCCCAAGGCAAAAGTGTTATTTCACAAATTCTTTGTCATATTCCTGTCTTCATCTCCTTCCACAGCTGCATCTCATCCCACCAGCCACCTAATGGCCCATTCTTGATTACAGTTATATCCTGTTTCTGGTAATCAGCATTTGTAGAATAGCCAACCGCAATATCACTGAAGATTAAGATCTCATATAAAAAACATCAGAAGCCAGTGATTCCTAAAAAAAAGAAAGAAAAGAAAACCAGTTGTCCATTTATCTAAAACCACTAATGAACAAGTGGAGAGAAAAATCACTAGCTGCTCTGGTTAGACTGAGTCATTACAGACTCCTCAGCCATCAGTACTAACTGAAAGGTTTGAATCACCACAAAGAAGGATAAAAGACAAATTCCCCTGCAGTGAAGACAGAAATGAGATTATTATGACAAGATCTAGCTCTCTGTCATAGAACAAGTGTCCTCAGCCCAAATCCTGCAGCCCCAGCAACTTCCTTTCCAGCAAGGTAAGCCTAGAACTGCGCAGAACTGTCCCATCTGTTGGTTGTTGCAACAGTGATGTTTCACTGTCAGTCACAACTTCTAAAATATTGACTGGCTCTGGAAAGTTTAGATGTAAATACTGACCTCTTACATCAGAACACATTTTATCCTACACTCCAGCGGTTACCCTGCAATAACCATCTTTGTGGTGTCTTACATTTAACAGAATTCATCACTCACAACCCAGAAAGAAGACGACACAGAAGCTTCCCAGACAACTTCACCTACAGTTTTACAAGACTCATCCACTTTGAAACACACTAATAAAAAAAAACAACAAGGTGAATACACAGCAGGCAATTCTAATTTTAAGAGCCTCATTTGACATCATGATAAGTTATCTTCAACTCTGTCATTTGTACAAACAAGTGCCACCAGAGAAAGACAAATGTCTCTTAAAACCATTTGGACTCTGCTTGAAACATAAGAGGCCTGGCAAGTAAACCCTCCCCCCCCAAAAAAAAAATCACAAAATACTGCAGCAAAAGCAAGTAGAGGGATAAAATCCAATCTAGGAGCAAGCCAGGACAGGTCTGGGAAGAGGAGTCTTGTCAATCGGTACCTGATGACAGGGGTTACTTACAGTAACAGTGATAAAATTGACTTCTAACCATTATTAGATCTCCAGACCTGATTTCCAGTTTATCTGCCCTTAGTTTCTTGGAGAGCAAAAGAAAACTAAAAATCAGGCATTGTACAGAACCAATGTAGGTAATTTCACCACGGACATCCCTGTAGACGGCTTTCAGAGGACTGACCCTGACCAAGGTCTGACACATGCAAGTAACAAACACCAAGGCAAGCAAGTTACAACTGCCTTAGCATCAGGAGGAGATATAAGAACATTATAAGAACATACAGCCTAGAGGCAAATATCTCCAGGAAAAAAAAAAAAAAAAAAAAAAAAAAAAAAAAGAAAAAAAAAAAGAAAAGAAAAGGAAAAACCACCACCAAAACCAGCAACAACTGGAAAAATGTGCAACGTCAACGCGCTCGGAGTCTACGTGTGGGAGACGATCGTTTTCTTCAGGTAAGGCTCGGCTTTACGGGAGGAGTGTGTGCGCACCGGGCACTGCCGGGGCCCCAGGCTCAGGGCACAGCCACTAGGCACAGCCTCAGCCTTAGGACCGCGGCGTTCCGCCTTTCTCGAGCTGCCTTTTCGCCTCCTCTCGGTTCACCGAGACTGGCTATCGCACAGCCCCGGGCTCGGGACTTTCCGCGGCTTTGGGAGTTACTCCGTTTAATTAGGACCGCAATCTCGCTAACCGCAGTGCTGAAAACACCGACCCCGGCTGGTTGCAAAGTGACAACTAGTGGCGGCTGGGAATGCTGCACTTGAATTTGCCCGGGTAAATATTCCCACCTCGCCCCCTCCCCATCCTCAGATTGCAGTTTAAGGTGAGTTCCGTAGGATGCTTTCACTGCTTAGCTGTGTAGGGCTCCTTTTCAAGGAGAGCTCACCTTATCTCTTCAGCTTGTCACTGAAGGCAAAGAAATAATCTCCTTCCTTCCCCACTTTTTAATTTCATGTTGCTTTCAGCATCCTTCCTTTGCAGAATCTAAGTGAAAGCCAAAGGGGATGCGGGGAGCTTTTTATAACTATATCCCTTAGTACCCAGCCGTATTTTGACTGTTTTAGATGTGCTCAGTTTGTCATTAAGGCTAAGGTAGGAGAAGAACAGTTTTAGTCATAAAGAATTGTTTCTGGTCCATCTCACCTTGCAGTGCTTTTATTAAATGGAAAAAAAGAAAAAAAAAACAAACAAACAAACAAAAAACAAAAAAAAACCCCACACACCCTGGGAGGTAGAAGCTCTTCTTTATTTGTACAAATAACAGAGCCTGCTATCAAGTGATAGATGCCAGACAAATTCAACTGTGGAAAAAAAAATAAATAAAAAAATAAATAAAAAAACCACCACACCAAAACATAAAATTAAACTGCTTTCATGACCTGAACTTGGTCATCAGTCAGAATTCATTTCAGTTGCATGGCTCTTACTTTTGCATTTCTGTATTTCACCAAAGTCTCACAGTTTAATGGGAAAGCACAGACATTATTTACATATACATCATTGGTGTAATACATATTATTTTATGAATCACAGTAGCAGACCTGCTGATACTGGCCAGACTTTTCTAGCTAGCAGTCTCTTTCCTTTTGAACACGAAAGTCTTTCCAGGCATACAAATTGGGATATCCCACTTCTTTTGTATTTCCACAGAAAATCAACGACAGCAAGATTGTAGTGAGAACTCAAAGCATTTAATGTCTATATGTTAGGTAAGCCAAGAGAGAAGTTCTAGAAATAACTAAAATCATCAATATCTGAAAAGCAATGCACAATATCCAATACTTCAGAGCCATCCTTTGTTATCTTATTCAGTCACAAGTGTATAGCAGCACTGCACAATACAGTGGGGTGGACTAGCAGGAGGCATATGTCTGTGCAATGAACTCTTTAGTTAAACAACGTTGAAGCATAGAGATAAAAAACAAGATTAAACAATACATAAGTGCTCTGAAATGATGTCCATAAATAAGCTAGAAGGCAAAAGGAAAATTTTAAAAAAAGAACACTTCCAGGCTTGAGTTTCCTATGGCCCTGGCACTAATGAATCTATCTGACTTTCCTCTCAACTGCCTGAACAAGTGAAATTGGTACGTACTTGTCTTACTGATCCTGTTCTATGATGCACACTTATGCATCATCCAACACATGCAAGCACTTACAGATTCTCGGCACGTCAATTAAAGTCCCGAGCATTAAAAACCTTGGTAAACCAGTCCCTTCAGGTTCTAATGTAAATGTTTCTGTTATAAATTATATGCCTACACACACACGTGCTATATAAGATTATGTCGTATTGCATACAAAAATGTATTTCTGGAAGTCTGGTTTCCCTGAAAATAATGTTTAAGAAAATTTTAAAATGCTTTAATTACAGGGAGTTGTTGAAACCAAATATATATATCTCTGTTGTGTGTGTGTGTGTGTATATATATATATATATATACACACACACACACACACACACACACACTGCAATCATTTTCCAAGCAAGGGGGAAAAAATAAAAAATAAAAATCAGGAATTCCTTCTCAGAACTGACTCTAAGCAATGTTTCTCTTTTTTCTCCTGCTTTGTGTTATGTGTTCAATTTATTACAGGCCAAAAATCTACCAGCCTTTCTGGTCCAAGAATAGCTTTGCTATTTCAGTTTCAGTAAGTGAAGTTTATTCATTAACAGTCATTCATAAATATAGTGTGCCAATTACTCCTGCACTCAGTCCACTCAGTCATACATAATGTTTAAAAAACCCACAATCTGATAATCCAATAATCCATAATAGAAGTATGGATTGCTTTAAATTACAGGGTGTACCACAATTTATTGCCCGCCTGTCGAAAATATTCTGGAAAGAGTCTATTATATGTTAGCACATATATAACAAAAACAAAGAAAGATCCGAAGTCCCAAAGAAACATTAGATACAGCCAATATAAGAAATAACACTAGATCTGTTGCTTAACAAAAATGTCCTTCACCAGCTTTTTAAAAAAACAAGACCCTGTGGGAAAGAGTAACAGCTGCTGTGTGAATGCAAACATTATGCTATTGCCAATATGATATTTGTTTCTGTTATAGTTGGGGGGGTTTTGAAGGAGTTTGTGGTAAGCGGCTTATTCTGATATATCTTTCTTTTTGGGAGAGCATTTTCCCTTTTGCTACCTGCCTTCTCAGACTGCAGACACTTAGCTGTGACTAAGACATTTACTGAGAACCTGGACAGAGACAGGGATGGAAACTGTGCTGGGGTGGGAGATTAAGAGTCTTCTGGCAGACTGCTTGACCAACCCTTCCTTGCACATATTTATGTAAGGCAAAACGCTATTTCTTTAAAATAAAAATAGATTGGACAATATTTACACAGCAACTTCCAGATGTCCTGCTTATATTTGTGGAGACATATGCAAATGTTCTCCTAGAGTCTAACTAGACCACATATTTGTGCCCTGGTTCAGTTATGAATTCCTTCACACAGAACAAAGAGCTACCCTTACCCTGTGATGATCCTGCCCGGACTTTCTGTTGTACTGTTGCATTTTAATAGCTGTAGTGGTCCAGAAACATCACTGCATAAACCTGAGGTAGGAATGCACCTTGTACAAGGTAGGAGACAAAAGACAGGCTAGAACTGGCACCTCACCCAACTGGACACTGTCCTGTGAAGCTCTGAAATTGTTTGGGCCTGATTCTTGTCCTAAATGCACTTCTGTGTATCAGGAATCAGCAGCATGACCTTCACTGACTCAGGGTCAGAGTGGGCCCCTTCTGAACAGCAATCTGTCAGCAAGCAGGAGTGATTCAAGGCTACTGTTCTGAGTGATTCACAGGCTAAAGGTTGCCGCCAGCCTCAGACCCTACCAGATTGCTCTAAGGAGCATTTTTATATTCCTCCTGTCAGTAACAGAGCTCTTCGATTCCAGTTTTTAAAACAGTAAGAAGATGCCATTGTGAATATGATGCATCTTAACTTTGTTGACAGACAGACACTTTTTCCTAAAACAGACTTGAGAGATAAAGTAGGTGATTGGCGACCTGCTGATTTCAGCACCTTGGAAATACCACAAAAGAAAAGGCAGAGGAAGGAAAAGGAGAGTAATGGGCATGTTATCTCCAAACCTTCTGCTACAGCTCTGCAGTGCTAGACAGCATTAGAGAGGTACCTCTGAGTGAAGTATAATACTAACCAGAGAATTCCAGAGTCACAAGATAAACAACATAGCAGATATTCTCAGTAGTTAAAGAGTATTTTCCATGTGCTTACTAAAATCTACTAGAAGTTGTGCCTTATGACCTGTTGTGCTTCTACTGAATCTGTCAGCTCCTCCACAAAATAAAAATGATTTAGCAAAGACTTGGACTAGATGGCTCTAAGGACACTCTAGTTTCTTGGGTCTGCAACCTGTAATAGCTCCATTAGAGACCCTACTAAAAGGGTTACGTATTCAATATTTGAAAATGTGATGAGGTAGACAGTTCTCCCTAGAAACCCTTATAAATCATTCCACAAAGGAAGATTAATTTGGTATCATCCCAGTAGAAACACAAAATGTTTGAGACCCTGCCTTCTGCAGGGACTTTGATACACACTTCCATCCATCTGTAACAATTCACTTGCATTGTAGGCAATTAAGACAAATCAACATAAAGCATGCAAAACATTTTGTAACACAGTCTAATCTTAACCTTCCTCTCTAAACAGCTGCTGTAAACTCCAGACCTGCTCCTTGGATAGATCAGAACAAAAGAAATGCTTCACAAGTGTCTGGGCAAAACTCATTTCCCCACCCCATTATGTTGGGTGCAAGGAGCAGGAAAACCATAGATAGTCACTGTGGTTAACAAAAACAACAGAAAATGTTGCTGTTTCTCACATGCACTAATAAAATGCCCTTTGTCTCTGAGGCAATGGTGCTGCACAGGTGTTAGGTAATACAGACCAGCTGTCCACTTTGAGTCCCACTGAACATCACCCTATACTGCAGCAAGCCCCATTGGCAGGACACATATTTACTGTTCAAATACCTGAAGGAAGCTGCTTCTGGAAAGAGATCAATATGTGGAGGGAATCATAGGATCCTGTCTGTACATTCAAGAGCATTAGATCATACGATTTATCTACAGAGATTTCAAGAACAAGAATCTAGGCATGGGAATTTGGTCTCCACTTATTCCTCTTCTCCTGCGAAGGAGGTGTTGGAGACCCACCCTTATGTATGAAACAAGTCAGCAAAGGGCCCTCTGACTCGAGTGTCTCAGATATAATAGCATAGAGTGAAAGCCAAGCAGCTCATTCTCCTACTGACCAAAAGATTCAAGTCAAAAAGGAAAGCAGTTTAAGCAACAGCCCACTGCGGTTCCCCTGGTCTTGGGCAAACACTTTCCTTGTCAGCTTATGAAATTCATCTCACCAAATCCTCATGAGCTGACCTGGGTAGAAAAGGATTCCAACATCTGAAT